TGATTCTTTCAACTGCCTTATTAAAGCTACATCAAAAGATGTGATATTTGTAGGAAGTGGTAAAGATGTTTATATCATAAGTATTAAAATTGAAAATAATGAAAAATGTTTATTGAGTTTGAAAGAAAATACTTGGTTGTGGCATAGGAGATTAGGTCATGTTAGCCCATTCTTCTCTAAAAAATTTCCAAAAATTGCTTTGTAAAAAGGATAGCCAAATTTAAAATTTGTAAAAGATAGGATTTGCTTGTCAATTTGGAAAACAAGTAAAAGTTCTTTCAAACCCAAGCTTCTCCACATGGAACTTTTTGGACTAGCTAGATCTATCCTTTCAAAAGAAAAAAAAAAGTGAAACTATTACATCCATTAGAAGTGACTATGGTGAAAAATTTGATAATGCAGCTTTTGACAATTTTTGTAACAAAAATGGATATGAACGTCATTTCTTGACTCCTAGAACTACTCAACAAAATAATGTAGTAGAAATGAAGAATCATACGTTGCAAAAGATGGCTAGAACCATGCTTAATGAAAAATAACCTACCAAAATACTTTTGGGCTGAAGCTGCTAACACCGCTTGCTATATTGTCAGTAGAGTTTTGGTTAGTTGAAAGAGAATTAAAACTCGTTACGGGCTTTGGAAAAATAGAATTCCCAATGTTAGTTAATTTAAGGTTTTTGTCTGCAAATGTTTTATTTTGAACACAAAGTTCGATACATAATCCGATGATGGAATTTTTTTTGGATATTCATCGACTAGCAAAGCGTATAGAGTGTTCAACAAAAGAGTTGTTAAATAATCCATGCATGTCATAGTTGATGAGACTAACACTCTTGATCATGAGAAAAGGTATTGATGATGATGTAGGTTTGGAATATCCATTTGAACTATGGATATTCAAGACCAGAAAAAGGAAGTTCCTAACAAAGAACAAAGTTCAAAGTGAAGAATGGAAGTGAAGAAAAATCAGTCAAAGTTCAAAGTGAGTCCTCACTACCAAAAGATTAGAAGTTCACTCCATCTCATTTGAAGGAACTACTAATAGGCGATCCATCCAAAAGTATAACAACTAGAACGTCTTTTAAAAATCATCTCGGTAGTTTGCATTCCTTTTGCAAGTAGAACCCAAAAATTTCAAAAAGGCCGATTTTTATGAATTTTGGATACAAGCAATGCAAGAAGAACTAAACCAATTTGAAAGAAAAT